TAATATAATTATTAAAAAATTATTATTTTTAAATTTAAATTCAAAATAAAAAAAATTTTAACTGTAAAATTTAATAATAAAATCAAGAGATATTAACAAATATATTAAACTAAGATATATCAATCATTTTCTTTTAAAAGAATAAGCCTCAATCTAATTATGCTTTCACTTTTTCATCCGTACTCATATATATTAAACTATGTAAGGATCTAATTACAACAATCCAAAAAGTTAGGGACTTAACATACTTGTTTTACAAATTGAGGATCGTTGTTGAAATTTCCATAGTTCTTCCCACCTTTGAATTTTCTTTTGGAGTCCGAATTTTACTCGATTGCATATGGTTTTGGCATTTCTCCGAACAGCTGGAAGAAAGGAGACATCCCCTCTCTTCCAAAATTTACTATTGGGAATTGACTAGTGGGTGTCGTTTTGCTTAGAAAGCAAGAGAGTACGACCCACTATGGAGTGGGCCTCCCTCGTCTGACACTGATTGTGCCTTCAGGACCCCTGCCTGTGTTTCTATAACGGGAGCGCGCTGTGTGTCTGTGCGTCCTGTGCCGTTTTGTTGGGTCCCTGCTCCCAAGTCCCTACCTCGTGCGAAAGATTTTTGGTCTATCTCTTTGAAAATGCCAGTGGGTTTTGGTTTTTCCTTGGACAGTTGGACCATATTCCATTTTGCCCAACCTGGGTAAGAAAGATTATATGGACAAAATACCATGCCCTTTCCCTCCTTCTTGATATCTTTTTAACGTATACGCATGAATCAAGTTGATAGAAATCCATTCGATCGGTCCAAACAGTCTATAGCATGACTCACTAATGGGAATCTGGTCATGACCTAGTAAATCGATAACAATACTCCTCTCTTATGAATTTAACCTATTATTACCTCTATAATTCAGTATTTTACCTTTAAAATTTAAATTGCAAAATATAAATTATCAAATTTGGGTATTTGCTCTATTTGATAATTTATGTTGTCCAATCAAATGCACTTTAAGTTCTACTGGTTTATTTTCAAAAATTCTAGAGGCTTTTGTTTGTGGCAAAAGTATAGTGTGAGAAACTTAACTATTTTTAAATTACTGAAATTTAGTTGATAGTTAAGCGGTAAAAATATGGTTGTGATCGTATTTATAATTATAATTATAATGTATTGTTAAATAAATATATATAATATTACGAGTGGATTCTTACATAAAAAAATCAATCATATAATAGTATATCATAATTATAAACTTATAATGTCAATTGATATTATAACTATATCACTTTCGCTAGTCGAATAAGAGACATTGTTACTTATGAGGGCCTCTATTTTAAATTTTATAAATAATTATCAGCTATTAATTCCAATAGAATGAATTGAATTATATATTTCATATTATAAATAATAATAATTATCAATTATTAAATAATAACTAAATTTAAATAACTAATCCAAACACACCTATAAAACTTTTGTTATTAGTTTAGCTACAATTAATACTATTTGCTTTCTTTTTGAAAAGCAAAGGGGGCTACTATTAATAACTATGGTTCAACAGTGAAAGGTTGGGGGTTGCTAATTGCGGAACAAGTGACCGTTCCCTAACTGGCTGCTATTCAAAGTTTCCTAGCAACCCAACAGAATCATGATGGACTTCATTTCCTCAGTATTTTTTTTTTTTACCCTTTCTATTTAATTTTGAAATATTAATTCATTATAGTGCACATTGGCTGACTCATAATATACACCGACATGAAAAGAAAATTATTCCCTTTCCACTTAGTTGGAGTATCAATCAAGATGTTCTTTTGAAAATAATTTTCAAATTTGGGATTGTATTTTTCATGGTGAAAGATATGTGTACCAACATGGCGACATTGTCCACTAAAATTGTGGCTGTGCTGCAAGATTCCAGTTGAACTTTCTTTAGCTTTTCCCCAAACCCTATGAAAATTAAACGACGTTCAAAATATCAAACAAAAATGATCGTCAATTTAGGAGAATCTATCGCAACAAAATTTTAAATTAAAAATATCAAATCTGAATATATTAATAAATATAAGGAGGGATTTATAAATATATATAGTAATATCTTATTAAATGTATATTTTATTATTTTCAAAAATAATATAATTTACAATAATATGTAATATTTTAAACTTAAAAAATAAAATTTTGTTATATAATTAATTTTTTTTATAAATTTACTTAGAATATTATATATATTTTTTCTCATACATTATAATTATAAATTTAAAATTTCATTTAATATT